CCCGCCCCCCCCCCCATTCCCCCAGCAAGGACCTGTGCTCCAGGTCTGAAATTTCTGTTAGGTCCCTGCCACTCCTAGTGTTCAGTCTGCATTTTCAATGCAGTGTTTCGCAGACCATTGCTCCATAACTTCATTTTCAGTATAAAATTGCACTGACTAGCATGGTGGCTAGTGAACTTGGCTGTAGTTGTAAGCTTCATAAGTTTATCTGTTTAAAATAAATAAATCTTCAAAATCCAGCCCTACCCAGAATGTCCCTCTGTTCCCCAGAGTGCAGGCTCCTTACCAGTGTGTATATTTGGGGGTGGGAGGGAGCCTCAAAAACTAAGGACCTTTCTGCCCCATGCATTGGGTATAAGACTTCAGAGGAGATGCTGTGCTGCAAACTTACCTTCTAGGCATCTGCAGAAAGGAGGCTTTATCTAGGGACCTTCTTCAAAAAAAAAAAAAAAAAAAATCCCCAAAAAAACCCAACACGGCAGAGCTGAGCAGGAAGGCAGGGCCTTTCACAAGGGGCTTGTGGTTCTCAACAGAAGTGAAGCTCTGTTTGTTGAAGTAGTTGCATAAGTCAGCAATGCTGCCACGGGGTGGCAACTGGGTGGTGGCACCAACTCCCTGGAGTAGCCCATGGAAACCCCCCCCCACCTGCATTGCAGACAGGCTTCACTTAACACCTGGTGAATGCTCACTTCTGCCTGCTATTTATATTCGTGGGCTACTCCACACTTTCAGTGAATATTTGAACTGCATGGTGCTCTCATTCCTTCCTGATCCCCCTCGAGGCCTGGACTGTAGTATCTTGACCCCTGGCTTCCAGCTGGAGGGTGGGCTGATGTAGACCTGAGTGTTTCTGGGGAGCCCCACAAGGCACATTCATAGAGGTGGACTGAGGACAGTAGGGCAGAGGATGCAGTATACAGAGTGAGAGAGCATACACAGAGCAGATAGGTATGTTTAATATGGTCTGGAGAAGAGAGAATACCGGCAGTACCGGAGAGGCAGTGTGACATTATAGACTTTGACTCTTTTTGTTCAGATCCATCAAAACTTGAACTGATCCCTGGCTCCCAATTGTGCAGTACTGCACAAGTGCAGTGAATATGGGTAAAGCCCTGTGCCTATTAATACTCCACGAGTAGGGGCAGGGATTGGCTTAGGGCATCAGTAATGCCCCCGTTTCCTATTTCAGTTAGGGATAGGGATTTCCCTTTCTGAAATAGCACAGTTCACATATGTGCACTCGGCTTCCATGTGCTGACTAAGTGTGTCAGGGAAGTGGAGAGTCTGGAGGACACTATCACAAGGGAAATGTTTACGCATTCTGCGACCACGAAGGGAAACCCCACCTTTTCACACAGCACTTATCCCTCCTCCCCTGGATCTCCACCAGCCTCTAAAGTTGAGAGTGAATGTATTGGGGCTTTTGTTCTTGCTCTGTATAAGTTCTTGTCCATTCTTAGAAATGTGCTCTGCTCCCCCACAGACCCACTTACCCTCCCATTTTTCCAGTGACCTGGTGGCAGTGTGTTAATTAGCTAGTCATTAAAAAGAAAAACTCAGTCTTGTGAAACCAACCTGAATGGATGTTTTGCATTCAGAGAGCAAAACCTGAAGGCAGCAGATCCTGTCCTGCTGTACAGGTACACTTGTCTCAGAATCCGAGTTGGGCACATCCTCAAAAACTATTTGAGACTTTGACGCCTATGTCCTGGACAGGGGGGAGTTATTTTCTTGTGCAAGAAGCTCTCTCCCCGCATCCCGTAGCTTCCTCTCTGTTCCTTTACCGTTTTACTTAGCCACTTTCTCAGTACAAGGTTGTTTTATATCATCCAACTGCATAAAACGAGTCAACTGGACCTAGAATGTTTATGCCGGGAGCAAATCCTTCTCTAAGTTCTCTGCACAGAGTTTCCAAACGAGAGAGCAGGAAGGTAGGTCACAACTAGAGCCTGCCACTCTTTCCTGCTCTGCAAACAGGAATGCACAGCAATGTGACTCTCTCTTCCATCACATCCTTGCGAACGCATCATGTCGAGCAGTTACATGCCTGCCTGCCCAGAGTACTCCTGTGCTTGTGCAGGTAGGAGGAATAGACATTCAGCATATGGGGGACTAAAAAGAAACCAGAACAAGAAAAAATACCTTCTGTAGAGCACTCTTCTATTTATGGGGAAATGGGTTAGGGGAGTTGCTGGGAGTTTCCTCCACCATCCTAACTGGTGATTCTGTGAACTTCTGCAAATGCCTTTGCAGAGGGTGCAATAGTCTGAGTTGAGCAACCCAGGGCTGGTGCCTTTCTTCTTGGATGAAGAATGCTAGCAATCATAAGCCTAACGGGGAAGCATTTTTTATTGACTCTTGTACTGGGTCTGCTGTGCTGAGTATAAAGCACTGGCAGCCAAGTGAAATAGCCTGACATCCTGTTCTATGAAGGCCCCTCGTCTTCGCTTCTGAGAGCGCTGTTCGGAAGACCTTCAGGCGGCAGCTGCCGCCAGCACGCTGGTCTCTGGGGATGAGAGGGGAAAGAGCAGAGTGGGGAACTGAACTGTGGAGGAAGGGATGTTGCTGATTGTGAGAACAAGCAGCCACAGGGCCTACGATCTGGGAAAAATGCACTGTGGCTCCCTTGCTCCTCACACATCCCCAGCTTTCTGCCCTCCGCGGTGGGCTCCTCACCCTGGCAGAAGTTGAAATGGTTTGTGAGTCGCTCTACTGTTGCCTTCACACTGCTTATGCCTGGGTTGAGGAGCTGCTAGCTGTTTGGTCAACAAACCTTTTGTTTAACCTTGTTGGCTCAAGGTATTGGCTTAAAAATTTTTGCGCGTGTTGGAGGCATGGGAGGGGCTAAGGAATGGGAAGAAAATAACTGCAAACATTCCTTGATAGGTATGAGCAGCCTTTTTTCTGGCTATGTGTGATGGCAAGCAGGGCGGCTACCCCAGACCTGTCAGCAGTGTCTCTCAAGAGATCAACTGTGTGTTCGTGGCTTCAGCTATTCAAATGCACACACTGTGTCTCCCCACCCTCTCTTATTGCTAAGAGAGATTTTTTTTTTTATATAGACAAGAGTTAATCATGGAAAGCTCTTCGAGTGCCATTGCCTTTTTCCAACTACCTCTGATTTCCACACCCTTCCCCCTGCTCCTGTAAACTTAAACTGATTGCTGTATAATCCCTTGCATTTGGCCAGAGGTTAGTGAGCTTTTCTGTTATCTGCACTCACTAGTGGTCTGTCACTACCTCCACAACTGATACAGTAGTGCCCTGGGTAGGGTAACTGAGATCCCAACAGCAAGACTGACAGTCGGGTCCCATTCAGGAACAGAAGTCAGTGCTACCCACCTGCATGTGTTGGCATTTCACCTTGCTGACAGCTGTACTGTGTCTAGGGGAGGAAGGAGAGGAGGGGGAGATGAGAGAAGTGTTAATTCAGGGTTGTGCTATGAGGCTTTACTTTTGGAAATGGTCTGAAGTTTTACAGAAATGCTGGGCAAATGCTCCTACTGAAATCATTGGGATTTATAGACACTTCGAACCTCCTGAAAATCAAGGCTTTACCCCTCAGGTTATTGATCTTGCTTTTTTTTCAGTTGCCGTCATGCTACAATCAGTGGGATCTTGTCTCTAGATTCCCCCCCCTTTTTTTTTAAACATCTCTTCCTTTTTGCAGTAGGCAGTGATGAAGAACAAGAAACTATTGGTAGAGAACAGTCACTGTAATAATAATCCTGTTCCTTGAGTTTCTAAACAAAGATATGTGTAGCAGAAATGCAGCTGCGTTCTCCACACCACCTGTGGCAGGCACTTCCACATTCATACTTGTCCCGTTTAAGAGAATGGCACAGTGATTGCCAAGGCATCGACTCCTTTCCTCAGATCTATGTGCTTACTTCTGTGTTTTATTTTGCAGGCCAAGAATAAGGAGACGGGTGCATTAGCTGCTGCAAAAGTAATTGAGACCAAGAGTGAAGATGAACTGGAGGATTATATGGTGGAGATTGAAATCCTGGGGACTTGTGATCACCCATACATTGTCAAGCTACTGGGAGCATTTTACTATGACAGCAAGCTCTGGGTAAGAGGCTACTGCTGCATGCCACTCCCCATCCCATGTTGACTGTTTCTCTCTTTCTCTCTCTGCCATGCTGTGGAGGTGGAACACACTAGCTGAGGTCAAAGTAGCCTACTTAGAGCATTTAGCATTGTTGAAATCCAAGCCATGCTCAAGCCACTGTTCTGACTGTCACTTAATCACCTTGGTTTTTGTGCTTATAAATAGCCTAGAAAAGCTCCCAGGCTTTTCCTTGATGAGAAGAACATTCTAGCTGTTCGGTTGCACTGTGCATCTCAAGGTGCATTTATAGCACATAAGTCCCATTTTCCAGTTTAGGTTATAGAAGGGTTCAAAGGCCATCTTTAATGCCCAGCCTAGCCCTCCTCTTTTTTTTTACCTTACATGGTATAAGAGGAAACTGGCTAACTTGGGTTTCTAAACAGCTCAAGTTTTGATTTCAGATTAGGCTGCTGTAAGACTCCACATTTTGTACAGGCAAACTTTTAGCATCTGTGCCTGTCCTTCCCCTGGAACGGGCCTGTCTGTGTGCTTGCAACCTTTGGGCATTCTCACTGTAGCATAAAATGCAACCAAACTGGTTACTTGAGGTGGCCACTTACCACAAGGTTGGAAGAACAAGTTTGTTCCACTCTTGCATTCCAGCTCAAAAGATATAATTTTCCCTCATACTTTCTCTGTAAATTGATGCTGTTTACTAAACTTCCCTTGTGCCAGAAGAGAAAAGCCCTCTTATTTTCTGGGTGCTGCCCGGAGGTGGTAGAGAAAGACATAACTCTTCACCTTGCCAGCTCCCTTTTCCTTGCTCAAGTCGGACAAAAGGATGCATTTATGCTGGTTGGGATGCCTGTGTGCAGTTTCTGGAATCTAGGATACATGTAGGATTTTCACGTCTCTCTCCTGACCATTAGGGATGTAAATATTTTTAAAAAAATCTGTTTAACCTCTTCTAATGATATTGGTTAAATGGTTAACCGTTAACGCAGCAAATCAGACACTTCTGCACTTCTGGTGCCTTTGACAGTTGGGGGAAGAGGTGGCAGCAAGCCTCCCAGACATCACAGCCCATGTAAGGTCACAGGGCAGTAGCAGCAATGCTGGCAAGTTGGGAGGAGCTAATTGCTTAATTGAGTCCTTAAGCTGCCTGCTGTTTTTTCTCTTTAACTACATAGGCTGTGGGTAGTAGTCCTGTGTCCCCCCCCCCCCCCCC